CACACACACACACACAGACTTTTGCATTTTAAACAATGCTTGTTCATACAAGACACCAAAGGCCAAATGGCCTTGCCCCTAAAATGACGAAATTCAAGCCTGGTAGACACGCAACCCGCTCACTAACACAACACGCTCTGCCTCTTCCAGTAGGTGCAGGGATTGTGGTCCAAACAGAAGCACTTAGGCTGAATCTGAAGGGAACTGGGAAAATTGCACAGAGATCACATGGGATTTGGTCTGTAAATGGAACCCCAACCCTCAACACTTGGGCGGTTTCCTGCCTACCTCTCTCTTTTATTAACAGAAGCTCTTGTTCAGAAGATGGAAATAAAATGGCATTATGATGTTGCAGCACATGCATACAAGTGGTTTGTGCTCCACAAAGTGAACACAATTGCCATCAATAAATGTTTAATTTGTGATCAGATCAGTTAATATACACTTTATCATGCAGGTTTTTCATAGTATACCCAAACAATACAATTACTGTAAGAATCATATATTTTACAAACCATGTTTATATATTTGTACAAACACTATTTGTGAATGCAGTCTCTTGATTATGCCACCTTCAGACTTGTTGTTTTCTATGATACTTGTATGCTGGTCAGGTTTTTCACAGCAGGTATTTAAGAGAGTGACCTGACACGACATGACATGACCTGCCATCATCACAAATGTGTGTGTCTGTCATCCCCCAGACCATCTTGGACAAGCCAATCCCTCACACATACCTTCACAAGAGCACTTAGTCCTGCTCAATAACCCCCATCTATCCTCGCTAGGCTTTATTAATGTAACCCGCAGAGACCCGGCCCTCCAACAATGGGATGTGACAACCCTGACCGAGGACTGACCTGTGTGTGTGTGTGTGTGTGTGTGTGTGTGTGTGTGTGTGTGTGTGTGTGTGTGTGTGTGTGTGTGTGTGTGTGTGTGTGTGTGTGTGTGTGTGTGTGTGTGTGTGTGTGTGTGTGTGTGTGTGTGTGTGTGTGTGTGTGTGTGTGTGTGTGTGTGTGTGTGTGTGTGTGTGTGTGTGTGTGTGTGTGTGTGTGTGTGTGTGTGTGTGTGTGTGTGTGTGTGTGTGTGTGTGTGTGTACATTTGCATGTGAGGGTGTACATTTAATATACAGCAAACTCATACGGTGTGTTTATGTGCATGACAGGGAGCACAAGGTCTGATGGAGAGAAAAACACCTCGGGGGTGCACTGCATCTGCTGAGAAAATATTTCTCCCTCCAGTTTACCTCCTTTCACTGCTTATCCATCTTTTCTCAGACATTAACCTCCCACCCACCTTTGAAGGATTTCTTGCAGAGTTATAAATTACCTTTATCCACCTTTCTTATCACATTCATGCCAACATTTACACCAATTTACTTTTTCTTTAATGTGTGCAAGCCTGGTTTTTATCTCTATGCCATGTATAATGTCTCAGAGATGGTATCATCAGAGACAGGCCAGCTTGACTAAATGGAAACGGCAAATTGACTAGTATTAAGAGAGGAGGGCCTCTATCAGGCGATCTGATAGGGTCCCATTAAAGAAGGCATGCAGATGAATATGATTAGCTTTTCATTCCTCCTAATGGAAACATCTTCAGAGGAGAGGAGCAGAGAAATGTTTTGTAGTGATAGGGCCTTTGTACTGATGGGATTGTTATTGCCTAGTTTGGGTAGAAAGACCATTAAAGTTCTGGGAAGGGACAATGAATGTGGTCTGTGAGTATACTCTCAGTTATGGCTCCGGACCAGTGGTTCACCGTGTGTGGGCAGTGCATTGCTTTGTTGATGCGAAAAAGCTATCCTCCATTTAAATGGCTTCATATTGGGATTGTTTTTGCCAAAATATGCGACTAATGAGTATGAGGTTTCGTGTGTGTGTGTGTGTGTGTGTGTGTGTGTGTGTGTGTGTGTGTGTGTGTGTGTGTGTGTGTGTGTGTGTGTGTGTGTGTGTGTGTGTGTGGTGTGTGTGTGTGTGTGTGTGTGTGTGTGTGTGTGTGTGTGTGTGTGTGTGTGTGTGTGTGTGTGTGTGTGTGTGTGTGTGTGTGTGTGTGTGTGTGTGTGTGTGTGTGTGTGTGTGTGTGTGTGTGTGTGTGTGTGTGTGTGTGTGTGTCTGTGTTTTGCAGTACAGTGGTGCTTCATTATGAAAAGACTATCAAGAGCACAACTTCCTAAGCAGATTAGTGTTCATTTATGGAGAGCCCCTCTGGTACTGTTTGCCAAGTCCTCAAATAACCAGCACTATTCTCTATGATCTGTCAAAGTAGATGAATTTCATGAGTGCTATTTAAAAACATGTATCTGGAACACTTGAAAAAACGATTGATAGGGTTCTTCTTACTGGTTAATATCATTACTACACAACAAGCCTCTTTCTCATTTCGTCAGGTCTCTGTGACACAGAGTAACACAGCAGTAACCATTCATCAAGTTTCTGTTTTAGAATCATTTTTAATATAGAATATTTTTGCCTGTGCAAGATTGTGTAAGATAGTTGCCTTTTTCTTTATATGCATGCATGCCTTGCAGCAGTAACAGGTGGATTGATTATATATGTGCACTCTTTAATTCTACATAGCCTTTTAATATATATTACAAATGCTTCAGGGGACCTTTGCAAAAGCTGTTCCATCCTAATGTTGTGAGCATTCATGTGAAAATATATCCATCTGTCACATAGAAGCTTACAGTGGTGATGAAAGATCAGTGCGAAGAGGACAACTACGGGGAGAAATGTACATGTGGGTTTTTTATGTTTATGTAAATATACTTTGTTTTATTAGGTGCAACTTGCTTTAACTAATTCAGTATTATACAACATTCCTGCAATGAATGCTACATTTACCAGAGGTATAATGTTCATTTTGTGCTGAAATAGATTCAAAAAGGTGTAGAGGATGATAACCTATTTCAATTCAACAGCAACTATAACTGCAGCCTCGAGAATGATGTTGAATCAATGTGTCTGTAAAGCAGTTTAACAAAAACAAAACATTATAACCTTCCGGAAAGTCAGTTTTATAGCAGGATTCTTCGCATTGACTGCATTCGTTTTATCAAGATGTGGTGGAAGAGGGATTCAGATATTTACTCAAAGGACCTTTACCAATTTTATAATGTTGGGTAGTTTAATGTACTTGCGTAGTATTTTATATGCTCATAAAAGGTTCTAAAATGTACACCTGTGTATAGTACCAATGCCTGCCAAATAAATGTAGTTAAATGTAAAATATGTCTCCCTGAATTGAAGTGGAGTTGCATACAATTAAATGACTCAAGTAAAAAACAACTATTTCAGAATACAATACATACAGACATTCACAGTACTCTAAATGTACTTTATACCACTGATACCGTATACAAATCTATACATTTGGCATTAAATGTCCACTTCCTTAATAGTAATATCAACCGGTATTTTAGGAGGTGTCCTGTGTAGAGTATGTGTGATTCCATAAGTGCATGACGGTAGCGTAACATCCCTGTAATTCCACCTTTCCGGGGTTTATTCACACTACAGCTCCCTGAAAGCAGCATATCTCTGGATTTTCACTGTTTCTGACACGCCACATTGCTTTCTACAGGGATGAGTGTGACGAGCCGGAGAAGAGACATATTCCCTTGCAACATTTAGTTTCTGTCTGTCTGGCTTTGCTTCTGGCTGCAACTTTGCCTGTCAGCCTCTCCGGCACATTTGTAAAAGATATGTTAACACATGGGTGTGTCCATGAATCATGTATAATTTGTCAGTTAACTTAAGAGAAGTTGTTATATGCACACTGCAACATGTGCAGCACTTAGAAGTAATTGTTCAATTAGATTTTAGTTTGAAATAATAATTTTCGTCTACAAAAACGACATCCTAATCCTTCGATGTACAGCAAGGTGGTTTTTCATACGATGAAATAGATTTTATGAATACAAAGGAAAAGTTAGTGTTTGCAATAACTGAGGAGGTCATTCTTTTAACTGTGACTTAGAGGTTTATACGACTCACTATGAAGGAGAACAGATTTGTGTTCGAAATGCTAACTTATTAATGTTAGCATAAAGATCTTTCCACGATCAGTCTTTACCTAATTATATGTAACGCTTAAAGGCCTTTTGTTTAAGGTTTATTTGTAGTGGTACTTGGAGTCAGTTCTAATACATTCAGTCGAACTTCTTGTTTAGCTGGAAAACAAGAACAAATTACCTGCACTTTTTACTCATGAATAAGAAATGAAGACCATTAGATTGCTTTTCCAACCTAAGTCGTGCTCTTTTAGCTTTTGAATTTCTTTAGTTACACTGTTTGTTCCCGCAGTCTGGCTTCCACCTTTTGAAAAAAAACAGTGGGGCGGGGGTAATATAGTTATTGTAATTGTGTTCTCTGTCTTTGAAGTCAATACAAGATTGCTTTTGACTTGCAAATATTTCAGATTGAATTGGGCTAAATCACCCCTGGCATTCACGGTGTCCTCTTCTTTCTCTTCTCTAAAGGTTAATAGTGTCTGCTCTCAGTCTCTTCGCTGTGCTGTTCAGAGACAGAGGGGGGTTTGGTGGGAGCCTCTCGTTCTCTCCTGGGGGGGGATAGTGTCGCCAGGTCAAGCTTTAAACTCGGTAGGGGATGGACACGTGCAGCATAGAGAAGCCTTTTATCAGAGAAATGAATGGGCTGCTATGTTGAGCTCTTTGTGTGTGTGTGTGTGTGTGTGTGTGTGTGTGTGTGTGTGTGTGTGTGTGTGTGTGTGTGTGTGTGTGTGTGTGTGTGTGTGTGTGTGTGTGTGTGTGTGTGTGTGTGTGTGTGTGTGTGTGTGTGTGTGTGTTGTGTGTGTGTGTGTGTGTGTGTGTGTGTGTGTGTGTGTGTGTGTGTGTGTGTGTTCCTGCGTGATGTGAATGACCTACAGTCGACTGTGCATGAATCAAAGGTTGAGCTACCACATATAGACTTTATTAAATACATTATGAGACGTTCTGGTTAATGTATTCTCTCTTTCTCCCTTTCACCTCTCACAGGTATGGAGACATGGTTCCTAAGACGATTGCAGGGAAGATCTTTGGCTCGATCTGCTCGCTGAGTGGGGTGCTGGTAATTGCGCTGCCCGTCCCTGTCATCGTGTCCAACTTCAGCCGCATTTATCACCAGAACCAGAGACAAGACAAGCGACGGGCGCAGAAAGTCCAGGTGAACACAATTTCATTTCCTTTTAACCTGGCCTCAGAGGGTTGGACCTCCAGACATCCAGCCCTCAGAGGGGGGGAGGGGGGGGGAACTCTGACGTCTCTCTCCCGTCTGGGCTAGGTTGAAAAAAGGTTTATTCAAAGCTTGATTAAAAAGGTTGTTGGTTGTTTGGTCACTGTCAATCAAATCTGGTCAGATTTTCCCACTGAGTCTTTAAGGAACAGATTGTCTGAGTCAGTTATCTAACAAAAAAGACTAGATTTCAAATCTATTTCCAAAGTCTTTACATTATACAACATTGAAACTAATGACCTGCGCTGACCTTGAAAAAACTTGAATTATGTTATGTAAAATAACCAACCCCCCCCCGAACCAAAATATCCCCTTTAACTCCAAAAGCTAAATGTTATTATAACTCCAAAAAACCTGAGCCTTAAACCTAGAACAGCCTGTCAAAGAAGTGAATATCAGCAACTTTTCATCTTTGCATGATGTTGTCCTTGTGAGGAGAATGTAACCTTGTAAGTGTAGCAATGAAACATGTGGGCACATATTTCTAAATGGATTCTGTGAAGGTGTGTTTGAACTGTGGAAGATTTAAAGATCCTATCTTCTTTTGGGTTAATATCCCAGCCTTTAGACCAGGGGTGTTAAACTCAAGGCCCGGGGGCCAAATCCGGCCCGCGATTTCATTTTATGTGGCCCCGCAAGAGCTTGCAAAGATTATAATACGTTTATTATACGGTTACATGCCACTTTACAGAAGCACGTTGCCCATAAACTACATGTCCCACAATGCATCTCGTTTTGTGACATGCACACTGAAGAGACTTGCAATTATTTGCCCTGGACTTCTGCTTTCAGACGTAGTTAATTACGAAGTTATTACCCTATCCAATAATAATCCAATTCAGAGGCAATAATGTAATATAATACATTATTTTATATATATTATATATTTATATATGTATAATTATATAGTTACAACCGGCCCTTTGAGTGCAACCATAATGCTAATGTGGCCTGCGATGAAGTTTGACACGCCTGCTTTAGACCTTTAAAGAATGTGTTGGTGTGTCCATGAGCAAACCAAGGTAAAGCATCAGCTGGCTTGCATACAAAACTGGGCTGAAGGCAAGGCTGACACTTTCTTTTTCTCCTAAGATAGATAGTAGTGTTTGGAGATGGCAGACATGTACACACTGACACATATTTTCAGACTCCATTCCTCTTTCTCATCACCCTCGTTCACACCTTTCTTAGCAAAGCTTTTTTACTCCATTTGTTCATTTCTCCTCCGCTCATTTCTGCTCCTCTGCCTCCATCCATCCTCCCTCCCTCTCCCTGCACTCTGTGATTAATGCCATCCATCTCGGCACATGCTCCCTGGCTGTAGTTTAAATCTGTTTAAAGTCCTGTGGTTCGACCGTGGCCTGACCGCTGCCTAGTCTTAACTAACCGTAACCTTGTCAGGACTCCTGTGTAACACAGCCAAGAGTGAGAGGACGAAAAGACACACAGAGCGGAAGGAGAGGACGGTTGAAAGGTCGGGAAAATGATCTAGATTGAAAACAGGTTGGAGCCGACGTGATGTATAGTGTTGACGCAGAAAAGAGCCAGAGGAGAGGAGGAAGGCCAGAGGAAAAGAGGGAGCAAAGGGGGAGAGAAAGGGGGAAAGCTGGAGGCGAAGCATGTCCTAATGCTGTGCGCTTTCCTGAAATAGCTGTCACCCAGATAAGGTGCAGGCTGAAAGGAAAGTGTGTGTTTGTCTGCTTGTGTATGTAAGTGCATCTGTTTAAGTGCATGAGTCCACGTGTGTGTGCGTGCACCTTACTTCCTGTCAATTGTAGACCCTTGGTCCGTCCCATCTTTCAGAGTGTTATTAAATCAGCTGCAGTGCGCTGCAACGGTCAAAACATGTCTCGGAACAATGTCTCGTACACGTCCAAAAGTACCTTCCAACTGACCAGTGTAGTCTGGCACTGCTGTCGTCATTAACCACTACTAAATGACTCTCTCAGGCACTTGTATGTCTTCCTGGCTTGCTCCGCAGTGAGGTCAGCAATTTGCTCAAGTACCCATAAATCCAACAGATAGGTTTCTCTATTTCATAACAGCATGACTCAAACGCCTTATCATTGCCTTCATAATAATATCCCACCTGGATGCCTTGATCCTTGAGAGCGTTATTACTACGGCAAATCAAGGTCTTAAGTGCCAAGGATGATGATGGGTTTGCAAATGTGATATTTTAGAGCATTGAGGAGATGCAATCTGTTCACCATCTCTGTCTTTAATTAGCTCCCAGGATTAAGTGTTACTTAGCATTTAAGCTTGTTTGCTTGAGATCAGTGGAGGATGTCTTGAATTACATATTGTGCTAGCTCTGAGTGGATGATGCTTTGGAAATTATTTGATGTCACGTCCCTACTGGTTGGTAACTTAAAGGGCCTTTGCTCTCCGCCTTTTAAGCCATGCCAGCTGTGTCTCTATGTACTGTATTATAACGTGTCTATCACTTTAGTCCAGACTCACATATCTCAAAAACTATTACATGGTTTGGTTTGGAATTTAATTCATACAACCATTGTTCCCAGAGGAGGATTCCTAATTACTTTGTTGACCCCCTGACTTTTCATCTGGTGCCACCATAAGGGTCATCTTTAATTGAAATATTCACAGTTTTTGGTTAGATTGCCATGTAATTTGGTTCAGATAATAAATTATACTGATTAAATCTTTCAGATCCTTTAATGGACCCGAGCTCCATAATGAGATATATGCCTCATTTTTCACTGCCTTGTAGTAGCCTTGACGAAACTGCCTTTTTATACCAGGGTATTTTCTCTATTTTATTTTCCACTATGCATATTCCCCCCTCAGAGTTTGGTGGATTCTAAGCTGACTGTCATAGTGACGCCAGTAAATGTGCTGTCATATAATCTTCAATGAGACTCTTGCTAAATCCTTCCATCTGTAACCAAACAGAGGTATGTCTACACTCGGTTGTGAGGCGTGGTTTTAAAGGCTGCCATATCTTAAAAATCTTGGTTGGATTGAGAAAGAAAATCATGGTCACTATGTTCAGTAACTTGGCTAACATTCTGGTAATAAAAATCTCCTTTTACTAATACTGAACCAAAAAAGAGCGGGGCAAAAGAGTCGAGTTGAGCAATACCTCCCGTTCCGTGCAGCGGAAATGTTGCGTTATACTATGGTCTGTAGCAACTGCAATGTATTTGATTGCCTTTTCTAACAAATGCTGCCGACATGTGTTCAGCTCATAACACGTTACAGAACATCTCATTAATTTAATGTTCTTTGACTCTTGGTTGGCAGACAATGATCTCTTACACTATAAAAGATGGCAATGCGTGTGCAGAGGGTTTATGATAGAGCCATTACCATTGTATATTCAGCTCTTTTATTGCTAATGGCAACTGTGATCTTTTATGTCTCATCTGATCCATGAATTACTCAGGCATGACATATCCTTCAATACCCCATTACTACCGTCTGCATAACATGTATTGTTCTTTAATGTTCCATAACCTTAATGACATATGACCTCAGCCATTAAGCCACCCGCTTAGCAAGTGTCACTGGTCATTTAGGATAGCAAAAACGTCATTTCCTCAGCTTTTAAAAACCGGCACATTGTTGTATTTCACAGAAAAATCCATTCTTCCTCAGATCATTTCTTAGAATAAGGCTATGTTTAATTGAGAGTAAAATCGAATAGCCAATCAAGATTTCCTTTCACAGTACTTACCGAAGTAAAGTAGACAGGAGAAAGAAGAAGGGGGAATTGTTGAGGAGAGGAAGCAGCATTAGTCCCTCAGCCTTTTCCAGCCTCCTGTCTTCTCTTTTTTTCTCTCTATTCCCAACCCCCCCAATCACATCCATCTTCATCCAGGTCTAATTGTTAGCTGTTCTGGGCTCCCATTACAATTAACCATCCATCTGGGTGGTGGTAGACAGACAGCCCCTGATCTATCTCACTGCACAAAGGGAAGATACATGAGAATGCCACTAGTTGCTGTGTGGAAAGGAGGAACAAACAGCTGACACGGTCATATATTCTCCATTCTGCCTCCCTATAGTCTTCAGTGTCACTACTTTTGATTTCGACAATGAATTGAAGACTCAGTTTAAATCCTTACCTGTCTCTACGCATAATCAGGAACAAAGTGCTCAATCTGCAGGGGTTACTCTTTATTGCTCCTCTGAGCGTATTTACATAAAGGTAATAATATCCGCAGGTGGGCCAATTACAAATTCTGACTTGTACACCTGAAAGAGGGCAAGATTTAAATGGAGATTCACAAAAGGGCAAGTGATACAGAAGGATTAACAAAGATGGTGGCATGAATTTAAATGAGCTTAAGTTATAAGAGTACCGAGGGTATTCTCCTTGATCTGGTTCCCGGGTTCTGTGAATGATATGCCTCTTGGTTTTCTCAGACTTGTACAGCTATATCTAATATTTGAGAATGGTTTCTGGTCAATAAATACAACCACAGCACTGACAGCTAGATTTGTTAGGTTCTGGTCTGCTGATTTTTTTAAAGCAGTACTTGAATTTCCACTGTATTATGTCCTTCTTTTCACTCCAGGTGCGATGGAGGTCCATGAAATATTAACAGAAATGGAGCATTTTAAGTAGCCTTATATAACTATTAATGGGCAGGGAATGATCAAATCTCACAAATACGCACCAACTAAAGAACAGGTGGCACTCAAAAAGATTCATCAAAGATTTACTAGAAGTAATTTCAGTTGAAATGGTTTGATAAGTCAGACATTGAACACTTGGAGGAGCTTACCCTGCATGAAAAAGTCAGACACGTTTTTTTAGTGGCTAATTGCTTTTTTTATCTTTCACAAGTGAGTTCTCTCTCTGAGTAAAGTCATATTCTGTAACTTAAAGTATTTTGTTCTGATTTAAGCAAACCTGTGATTGTCTATAATTGAAGAGGGGTTATTAGTTAAATGCATTCAGT